TTACTTAATAGTCATTTATATACGGAACAATTATCATTTGAAGGCGCTCCAACTGATGGAAAAAGCTGCTTAAATCGTATAGTGGCCGCTGATGAATTAGGTCTTAGTCTATTATCAATACACGAACAAAAATTCTTAATAACAAATCGTTCAGAATGGTTACGTAATAATTTTCTATTAGTTTATAAAGTAATATCAAATTTATCCACTTTAGAGTTATTACGCGACTTTTGTTTACAAATGCTTTGTCAGGATCCTAAACTACTTTTAAGTGATCATTCCATTCATTTGGTTGACGATAAAACTTTATCTATATTATTAAAAATGGATGCTCTTCAAATGGACGAACTTTCTATTTGGCATATAGTAATTCAATGGGGAATTTCTAAAATACCTTATTTATCTGAATCAAATGTTGCTTATTGGACTCAAGACGATTGGGATCTCTTAAAATCTCGTTTGATAAATATTATTCCTTTAGTTAGGTTCGAACATATCTCAAGAAGGGATCTTTATAAATATGTTAAACCTTTTTCGAATATTTTACCAAAAGATATTTTGGCCATAATTCCATCTCAAGAATATGATAACACACTTTCTAATAAGTTGAATAACGTTGATAACAAAGAGAATATGGTTAATGATGATAACAAAGAGTTCATTTCTAACGATATTAAAGATAGTAAAGATAGTAAAGGAAGTATGCTTAATTTTGATAACAAAGAGATCATCTTTAACGATAATAAAGGGCATATGCTTAATGCGGATGACAAAGAGAATATTGATATCAAAAAAAATATTGTTAATGTCGATATTAACAAAAATAATTTAAATGTTTCCAATGTCAAACGTTCTCAACAAATTGATTCAATAATAATTTCGATTTCACATCTACCTCAAATATCTGATTGGATTAAGGGTAACCCTGACGATGGCTTTCCAATTCACTTTAATTTCTCCCTAATTTTTAGAGCAAGTAGAGATGGTTATGCTCCTGGAACTTTTCATAGATGGTGTGATGATTACGGTGCACCTACATTAATTGTAATTAAACTTACTGATTCTTGTCAAATTATTGGTGGTTATAATTGTTTTTCCTGGAAATCTCCTTTGATATTTGCAACCACTCAACATGATGAGCGTGCTTTTATTTTTTCCTTATGTGATAAAGATGGTAACAGAGAAAAAGCTAAAATCGCTAGACCTAAACGAATTAAAAAGAAACATTATAATAGTAAAAAGTGCAATTTGTTATCTAATAGTAAAATGGGTAATTTATTATCTAATAGTAAAATGGGCAATTTGATATGTAATAGTAAAAAGGGTAATTTTATGAAGGCAACAAAAGATCATTTCATATCACCGGGGCCATCGTTAAAGTTTTCAAGATTTCTTGGTCCTTGTTTTGGAAAAAGTGATTTACAATTGCAAAATCGTCTTTGTTATTTTAAACAACGTGATTATGATGACAATATTACTGATCACTCGGGACTTTTCGAAGTTGATGATTTTGAAATTTTCCGTGTGGAAATTTGTCAAAAATAATTTTTTTTTTTTTTTACTGTAGAAATTTTTTTTATGTTTAGATTAGATTGCCTTCATTCTATGGTTGCATTTTAATAATATAATATTATATATATCATATATTAGGTTTATTATTCATTATTTGTATAGTCTTTATCATTTGTTCATAGCTAAAAATAAATATAAGTGTATAGGTTTTTTTTTTCATTCATTATGTTTTTATTATTATATGTATATTCATTACTTTATTGCATATTAACTTTTTATGATTTTACCACAAAAGATTAAATTAATCATCGCATTCCTTAGTTTTCTTTAGTTTTTCCTTAGTTTTCCTTAGTTTCCTTAGTTTTTCCTTAGTTTTTCAATAGTTTTTCCTTAGTTTTTCCTTAGTTTTCCTTATTTTTTCCTTAGTTTTCCTTTAGTTTTTCTTTAGTTTTTCTTTCTTAGCTCTTTTTGTCCTTCTAAACAATTTACTTAGCCGGATTTAGTAAATCTTTAAAAAATTTTAGTAAATACGTAGAACAAATTAATATGTACACGTATGATCTCCAATTATCGTTATCGTTATATTTCAGAAATCCATTTTAAAATAATAAACTTCTAAATTGAGGTGTAAATAGATAGAAGAGTAATACAGTACAATAAATGTATTAATTAATTACAAAAGAGAATACAACAAAGCTAAAAACAATATTGATATACAATATCTTCATTATTCGGAAATAATCAATCAACTAACATCTATGGCGTCTATGATCATAATGTGCTTATTACGAAATACATCCCTGCTTTGTGCTTTTCGCACAAGATAATTTCGAACTTACCGCTTTTAATGTTACATAATATTGGGCCTTTTTAAAGTACAACCTCCCTGTTACGGCAGTTACTTAGATAGGTAAGTCACGGGATGTAAGTTTCTATCTGTAGTAAGCCTATAATAAAAATAGGTTCGAAAAGAACAATACATAGTCTTTTTTCGAAACTATTTTTATTTCAGGCTTACTACAAATAGAAACTTATGCCCCGTGACTTGCCTATCTGAGTAACTGCCGTAACGGGGAAGTTGTATTTTAAAAAGGGCCATTATATGCATATTGTGCTGATCACTGCATTTCAATGTGATTACATCTGGTGTGATTTCTTAATTAAAGATTTTAAACCATGTGTTTATTTATCACGTTGGGTACTGCAAAAATTCTGTATTCTTGAAATTCTTCTTATGTACGTACTGTACGTACGTATTTCCTTTACATTTTCGAACCCTAAATCTTGGATTCTTCAAATATTTCTATATATAGAATTTATAACATTAACGACTAAAATCAAATTTTGACAATCAAATCATAGGTCCCTTCGTTCATGCGTTAGATTAACACGAATTACAAACATTAATTTCAATATACTGAACTTCAAATCTATGTATCGATATAGTTTAGTGTCAATTTTCGCTATCTTATCTTACGAAATCGCTCTTTTCTTAAAATAAAAAAAAAAGGGTTAATTAAATATATATACGTATTGCTCTTGAAGTAGTACAACTTTAGATATATTAAATAGTACCAAATCACTTGATTTACTTTAAACCCCTAAAATTAGATCATCATGCATTAAAATACTGTACGTACATATATGCTTCATTGGTGGCTTTTGTATAGTTTTGTCGATCTAATGTATCTAATATTTAGTGAATATCGATATTCCAAGATTCGACTTATTAACTGTATTTACGTATGTACCTACATAATTCTTTGGCTTAGTAATTTATTGACTTCTCTATAATCACAATATTAAGGTCATACCGTATTTGCGAGAAACAATGCCCCCTGGATGTTATATATCGAGAGCTAAGAATTAATTTAAACAAAGATTTTTTTTTAAAAAAATTAATTGTTTGTATGTGTATCA